CCAGCCGCTGCTCGTCCTTGGTGGCGTCGGGCTGGCCCCGCAGGCCCGCCAGCTGCAGCTGCAGGCTCTCCAGCTTCTGCCCGCGCCGCCGCACCAGGTGGATCAGGACATTGTGCACGTTCACGCGGTCGAAGACGTACTTGCGTAGCTTCTCCCTCGCCACCTGGGTCGGGGAGGCACCGCGGGCACCAGGGGGCGCTGCGGAGCCCGCTGGGAGCGCGGCAAGTGGGAGGAAGAGCTGCCACCCCAAGGACCCGGGGATGGGAGCTCGCTCTGCCCTCCGCCCGCTGCGTATTGCCGTGCGGGGCGGGGCGGGGTCGCGAGGGCGGGCTCCGCTGCATTGTTACCTCCATGGTGCTGCGGCCGTACGCGAGCCTCACCGACGAGTCCTTCCCGCAGGCCCTGGAGATGGTCCACTGGTCATACTGCCGGGGACAGGGGGAGGGGGCGGCTGAGCCAGGGCTGGGCCCTTCCTGGCATCCTCCCCGGAGCCAGCCTGCCCCCGGGGCCCTGGGAGCCCTATCTGCCCGTCCCGGGTGGGATGTGCAGGGTTCGGAGAGAGGGCCCAGGGCTGCCTGAGCTGGCCAGAGCGTCCCTACCCCGGCTCGGTCGAGAGGGAGCCTAGGGCAGGGCTGCTGGGGCCACTGAGCCCAGGGCACACATCCTGTGTGTGGATGGGTTGGAAGGAGGTGCCTGCCTTCCACGTGCGAGTGCGCGCGCACACGCGTGTGTATTTCTTCCGTTCCTGTCCGACCCCGCCCCGAGCCAGAGGAGCTCGCGCACCTTCTTGGCCAAAGCCCAGTCCTGAGCCCCGCGGCGGATGCTGCTGCGCAGGACGGCCAGCGTCTCCTTGTTCTGGGCCGTCTTCTCTTTCACCCCCTGGATCTGGAGCGCTCGGCACTGCTCTGTAGGCAGGAGAGGGCGGCGAGTATGTCGCAGGCCCGCTGGGGATTCCTGGCCCAGGAGGCTCCATCTGGGAGACTCCAGGCGGCAGCACACGGGGCCGCGGGTCCACACCACGCCCCTCCCCCACACTGCCCTGGGGTCGTGGCTTCACCACTCTGCAGTGGTAATTTGAAGGGAGGCGCTGCAGGGAGGGGGGTTGGCCAGGGCAGGGACAGGGGTGTCCCATGGTCCCTTCCAGATCTGCAGGTGGAGGCAGGTGGCCTGCCCCACTCTCCCACCCCCTCCCACTTTGGGGCCCACCAATCTTGAAGCCTCCCTCCCCCACACCATGGGGAGTCCCTTAGGTCCCTTCTCGTGGCTGTGTGGCCAGGGCGTGCCCCTGCACCGCCTGATGTTAAAGCTGAAGGTCCTGTGCTGAGAGGTCCCTGGGTCCTGGGCAGTCCAGGCCAGCAGGTCACTTAGACACGGGCTCACCCTGGAGCCTAGTAATGGTTTTCAGCTCCTGGGTCTGCTCCTCCACATCTGCCTCACTGTGCACCTTCATGGTGGCCCTCAGGGTCCCCAAGGGCCCTGTACCCTTCCACCGTCCCTGGGCTTTGCCTGCTTGGCAGTGCACTGTTCCCGGAACCTCGGCCCATTGTGAGGGAGCCCTGGAGTTCCAGGACTGGCTGCTCTCCCTCTGTCCGCAGCCAGCCTGGGATGGCCTCTGGGTGCACACCCTCTGCAGAGCCTGTGGTGGCTGCTGGGAGCTCGGTGGGCCCAGGTCTCTTTAGAGCGGCGAGGTCGAGTCATGGTGGCTTAGGCAGACCACGCCTGCAGCCCTGGGCCTCTGCCTCCTATCTCCCCAGACAGTCCTCCACAAAGCAGCTGGGGTGAGCCCCTAAAACTATTTTTTTTTTTTGAGAGGTTTTCGCTCTAGGGTGCGCGCGCTCAACAGACAGACAGAGAGAGACAGAGAGACAGAAAGTGAGAAATCACCCCCCAGGGGGGATGGTCACACCGCAGTCCCTTCTCCTCCATTCTCCTCTTGGGATCTTGGGCACGCACGCACACATGCCTGGCGTGAGTTTTACGCCACAGGGGCTGGGACGCGAACTGTGGTCGACTACGTGGGAGTCCAGCGACATAGCCATTACGCTAACTGCTGGTTCCCCAACTATTCTGACCTTTGTCCCCCCACCCAGTTCAAACCCCACCCCTGGCCTTCTGTCTGGAGCCTGTCCCCCTCTGCCCACCCTCAGGGACTCTAGGCCCTGGCTGAGCTGTCACTGCAGAGGGCTCGGGGTGGGTCCTCCCTGCGGCAGTTCCCCACACCTGGCCTGGATTAGTCTGGGCTGCAGTGAGTAGATGGGACACCTCACTTCCTGGAGACGGGTCTGTGCTCAGGGTGCCTGCAGGGTGGCTCTGAGTTCCTCCACTTACAAATGGCTGACCCCTGGTAAGGACACCCAGCATGCCGGATCAGGGCCCACCTTAATGGTCTTTGTGAAGATCCTGTCCCCAGCCAGTGGCATGGGGTAGGGGTAGGGCTTGAACATGACACGAGGTGGGAAAAAATTCGCTCAGGATGGCCTCCACCCCTGTGGGTCCTAGCACCACCTTCCTCCAGACCTCCAATGTAGGCTTGCAGGTTTCCTTGTTGCTAAGGTTGTTGCCATGGGGCATGTCTGCTCTCCTGCTGGGGATAGGAGGAGAGTGAGAGATCCCCCCCACACACACCCAGAGGCAGCCAGGCTGCAATTCTTCCTTCTGTCTCCTCTGGGCTTCTCTCGGGATTTTGGGCATGCGCACCCACGTGCCTGCTGTGATTTTCAAGCTGCAGAGCCAGGACTTGAAGCCTTGGTTGGCCATGTGAGAGTCCCATGCCTTAACCACCACACCTCCTGCTGGCCCCTCCCTTTCAACTTTTTTTTAATGAGAGATTTTTGTCTTAGGGCATGTGTGCTTGCTAGAGAGAGACAAGAGACAGTGAGAAGTCACCCGGGATGGCCTTGTTGCAGTCCCTTCTACACATGCACATGTGCCCAGTGTGTTTTAAGCTGCCAGTCCAGGACTAGAACTGCGGTGGACTATGTGGGAGTCCAGTGATGTCACCATTTTGCCATCTGCTGGTCCCTCCTTACTTTCAACTTTTAAAAACTTAGTCCTAGGGCCAGCAGATGGCATAGTGGTTATGTCACTGGACTCCCACATGGCCAACCACAGTTCAAGTCCTAGACCTGGTGGATCGAAAATCACGCTGATGGGACCAGCAGATGGTGTGATGGTTACGTTGCTGGACTCCCACGTAGTCAAGTGTAGTTCGAGTCTTGGACCTGGTGACTTAAACTGACATCAGTGTGTGTGCGTTTGTGTCCAAAGTCCTGAGGGCAGAAGGGATTGTGGCCTGGCTGGCCGAGAGGACAATTTCTTGCTTTCTGTCTCTCTGGCAAGCACACGCGCCCTATAGCAAAAAGTCTCTTAAAAAAAAAAAAGGAAAAAGGAACTCACACCCAGTGTGTGTGCACGTGTGTCCCAAATCCCAGGAGGGACTGTGGTGTGGCCGTCCCCCGGCGGTGATTCCTCGCTACCTCCAGCAAGTGCATGTACCCTATAGCGAAAATCTCAAACCTAAACCACCCAGTCCTGGCTGCAACTCCATGTGAGCCCGTCCTCCTCCCAGCCCAAGCCTTACTCTTGAGAGGCTGGGAGGGCCTGCCGCAGGCGGGGCCTGGGGGCCTGCCTGGCATCTGCTGTGCCCTGGTCATGGTGCTTCCTTCTCGCTCAGGTACATGACCCAGTTTGGCAGACTCTGTGGCTGCCCTGGCCGAGGTTGCCTTACAGGGCGCCCTCACACATGCACCAGGTGACCCAGCCTGGCTAAGGGGCAGCAGGAA